GCGTACAGAGGCGCTGGTGAGGAGGGGAGCGTAGGGAACGACTCAGGGAGGCCTAGGACAAGACGGTGCTGGGACATGTGACGGAGACAGGTGAGGGCGGGATGACCTAGATGGTGGTGCTTCAAAAGTGACGGGTGAGTAAGCGACCGACACGAGCATAGCGCAGCAACTTGGGAAGCGGTGTCCCAACAAGGGGGGAAGCGGTGTCCAGCGTGAACAGGCCAGACACCGAGTCCCGAGGGAACGTGGTGAGGGGGGCACTAGTGGCGGCCTCGGTACAGACAGCGTACTGCTTGTGCCCAGGGAACATAGTGGTTACGCTAAGGTCCTTGAGGCAGCCGACACCAATTAGGTTCCTAGAGAACAAGGGGATGTGCTGGCTTGTAAGGGAGCCTAAGGGAACCGCCGGACAGGGGAGAGTAGTGGAGCTACGGGCAACTACAGGACCGGAGGAAGGGTCGGCAAGAGCAACTGCAGCTGGAGCTGCAAGCGGCGTAAGCGTCGTGGAGTCGCGAATGAAACACCGGGAAGCGCCGGAGTCTAGGTTGAGGAGAGCGCGGCAGCGACGACAGAGGTTGCAGGAGCGAGGGAGGACCTTAGGCTAAACAAGGCAAAAGATCCTACGCGTGACGCAGCAAGGGAGCCTGAACTAGGCGCACTGGGCACACTTATGCTAGGCAACACAGGGTAATAGGAACCAGTCACACTAGAGTCATCAACATACATCGCATACAAAGCAGAGCTAATCTCATCCATGTCCATATCAAAGATCTGAACACGACGACGGAACAGACTGTGCCAGTTGGGGAGGTCAGGCGACGGGCCGAAGTGGAGACAAAATAGGCCGTCTAGGCGACGAAAGCAATGAGCGGGGGTATGGCCGATCTTACAGCACACGAGGCCACGACGAGGACCAGTCTGGAGCTGGTACTGGCAGCACCCGTCAGTCAAGCTACCACCCGACGGCACGCCGCGCGAGCGACCACTGCGACCATTGTCACCTCCAGCTCCAGGCCACCCGGGCGGAAGACGGCCGACCCTCCGCTGTTGCTGCTGCTGCTGCTGCTGCTGCTGCTGCTGATGCTGTTGCTGTTCCTGCGCCTGCTGCTTCTGCTGCTGCTGGACCAGCTGCGGTGCCTGCTGCTGCGGCTGCTCCGGGGCACCAACCCCAGCCCCCTCATCAGTACTACTTGCGGGCGAGCCACCTCCACCATCGGCACCACCCCTTCCTCCGCTACCTCCGTCGCGCCCAGCCTTGGGGCGGCGACTCTTATCCGGACGAAACAGCACTACGGCGGCTATCTCCACAGCCGGAGCTGTCTCATCAACCGCAGCAGAACCGTTGGAGTAAGAGCACTAAGTAGGGGCACAGCCCTGAAAGATAGAGACTGGCACGGTACCTTTAGACTCGGTGATAGAGCGCTGACGGGACTCTATGGCAGACTGGGTGTCGACAAAGTCAGTGAGGGTGAGGTCAGCGGGGTGGAGACTAAGGAAGTGATCGCGGGCGGTGGCGAGGCGGTCGGGGAGGCGGGTGGCAAGCAGGTAGAGGGTAGAGCAGATGGGGGGCTGAGACACATGAAGCTGAGCATCAGTGCAGGCAGCGTGCCAGGTCGTATCTAGCGTGTGCAGTTGGGCGGCTAGGTCAGCGAAAGTGGGGAAAGACGCAAGGTCAGGAAAGAGCATGGGCAGGATTAAGCGACCTACAGAGGCAGAGGGCGGGGTGGTATAGCACGCAACAACAGCCTCTAGGAACTCCTGCGTAGTCCTGACTGACCTAAAGCGGGGGCGCTCAGACAGGGGAAGGGCATGACTAATCGCAAGCTGAGCGACATCGTCACGCGACAACCAGACAGCACGAGCAAGAGCAGCAACTGCAGCGGACTCACGGTCAGCAGAGGTGGGGTCAGCGGGGAGGGCAGTAGGGGGGTCCGGGCAGGGTAGCGTACCGTCGATGTGGATGGCCAGGGAGTGGCCGTCCTGCCGCTGACCAGTCAGGGGGCGCTGGAGGTCGACGAGCCACGAGTCAAACTCAGTCGGCTGCCCCTCCGCATCGAAAAGCAGGACCGAGTCTGCCATCATGGTTGCAGCAGCAGGAGAAGGACCATACGGGGCAGTAGGATGCGGGGCCGACTAAGGGAACGGGGCTGGCTAGGACGGCGGGGCTAGCGAGGAGGCAGGGCAAGGGGCCACTTGGGCGGCGGGGCCAGCTAGGAGGCGGGGCCGAGAGGGCTGATGGGGCGGCGGGGCCAGCTAGGGGGCGGAGCCGACGGGGCCGAATAGGGCGACGGGGCTAGCTAGGAGGCGGGGCCGACGGGCCGACTAGGCCGATTGGGCAGCAGGGCCAGCTAGGAGGCGGGGCTGACGGGGCCGATTAGGCGGCGGGGTCAGCTAGGAGGCGGGGCCGACGGGGCCGATGGGGCGGCAGGGCCAGCTAGGAGGCGGGGCCGATGGGGCCAACTGGGCCGATTGGGCGGCAGGGCCAGCTAGGAGGGGGGGCCGACGGGGCCGATGGGGTGGCGGGGCTAGCTAGGAGGCAGGGCCGACGGGGCCGACTGGACGGTGGGGCCTGCTAGGAGGCGGGACCGGCTAGGCGATGGGGCGTGCTGGGTGACGGGGCTAGCTAGGCGACGGTGCTGACTAGGAGACGGGCCAGCACGTGTGGCGCGGCTAGGACCTAGGGCGGAAGCGCAAGAGGGGGGGGGGGGGGGGGGACCTACCTACTCATGATACCATGTTAAAGTGAGAAAAGTTTTAACTAGAACAAGACATACAGGGGTATATAGCCGAATGGGTTGTACTCTCTATTATGAAGCTAGGTTAGCTACGAAGGTAGGTGGTCATAAAATGGCGAGAGGTTTAGGAGCTAGGAGAGAAAGTTACAAGAGAAAAGAGGGTGAGACTAGGAAGAGAGAGGCATACAAGGAGGGAGTTGTACCCTCTATACTAGAGTTTGGTAACCTACCAAGCCTACCAATTATATAATACAATATATAATTTAATGCACCCCCTAGGCTTGGTAGTCACAAGCCCACCCAACACACACACCCCCTAACCCCTTATACCCCCATGCTCGAGAGCAGCCGGGTATGTACCCCTCGGGCTTCGCATGGTGACATCCCCCGGCGAGAGGCAGCGCGGGCAACGGCCATGGCTGAAGGCTCTCGGCGGTGTGGCACGGCGAGGCGACGATCGGGTAGAAGACAGCAGCTGCGGCAGGAGGAAGAGGAGACGCAGGGGAAGGGGGGGGGGGGGGGGGGGGGGGGGGGGAGGGGGTGAATCTTCAGCGACACGCCATGGGTGGTGCGGCGCTTACTGGCGGGAGAGGGCGAATCTTCAGCGAGGCACCATGGCTGGCACGACGCTTACTGGCGTGAGGGCGAAGCTTCAGCGAGGCACCATGGCTGGCGCGATGCTTACTGGCGTGAGGGCGTTACGACTGGCGCCTAGGACAGGGCGCTGGCCGCAGCTGTCCGTGCGCTGGCGTGGCGAAGCCGCCACGGCAGCACGACGGCACGTCGGCACAGCGGCGCGGCGGCACGGCGGCACCGCGGAACGGCGGCATGGCGGGACGGCGGCACTGAGGCACGGCGACGTGACGGGCCAGCGCGGCATGATGGGGCCAGCGCGGAGTGACGGCGCCAGCACGGCGTGACGGGGCCAGCGCGGAGGGACGGGGCCGGCGCGGAGTGGCGGGACCGGCGCATTCTAGCGGGGCCGGCGAGGTGAGACGGGCCCGGGGCAGAGTGACGGGCCGGCGCGGCGTGACGGCGCCGGCGCGGCTTGACGGGGGAGGGGGGGGGGGGCGAGGGCGAGTACGCTGCGGAAGCATGAGGAGAAGGCCAGAGCGAAAGGGCTCTGAAACCATGTTATGAAGCTAGGTTAGCTAGGAAGGTAGGTGGCCATGAAATGGCGAGAGGTTTAGGAGCTAGGAGAGAAAGTTACAAGAGAAAAGAGGGTGAGACTAGGAAGAGAGAGGCATACAAGAAGGGAGTAGTACCCTCTACAGTAGAGTTCGGTAACCTACCAAACCTACCAATTATATAACACAATATTTAATTTAACACTCCCTATATAGTCTACTGTAACATACAATGTATGTTTGACAGTACAAGTTCGGATATTAGCGACAATTGTTGTTTTGTGCTAGCTAGAAGCGCAATTTGTGCCCTTTGGTTATTCGCCTCAGCTGGATTTCCAATACTGTGAGAGGGGAGAGTACGCTGCGGAAGCGTGATGACAAGGCGCAGCAGGAACTTCCTGCTCTGAACCATGTTACGGTAGCTTCTGGCCCTCTAGGGGTTTGAGATGCCTGCTTAAACTATTTGCCCTAGTTTCGCGGTGTTGAATATTTTGTTGAAAATCGAAGAAAAAAATGGAAAAACAAAACGAAACAAAAAAAAGGATACTAGCATAGATCGAATTATTCCGTGTTTCTCCCATTAGGTCGTTTCCTGAAATTTATGTTTGGCATTGTTGACTAGATGATATACTGTTCGCAATATATCTCTTATGTGATGTCCATTGGCACACTCTATACCTACGGTGTCCTTTATACCGTAAAAATCTTTCATTTTGATAAAAGAGAATCGGCTATACCTCTATAATGGGAGAATAAATTCACAAACTTCAATCTAAACGTGACTTGAGGTTTTGTATAGCTAGGTCCTTATTTGTAAGACGGATGAGTTATTTGGTGTATTTCCAACACTGTGACGCGTTCGCCGCTATGTCCGCAGGCTCATCCGCCCATTCCCTCACACCTCCAATAATGGTGTGCGCCTCGGTAGTCTATCAGACCAATGTGGTGTGGTGCTGCCCAGTGCCCCTCCATTCCGCGAAAAATGCCTGACGAGACGACGTCGTCTCGTCTCCCCTGCAAATTGCAATGCTTGCGAGGGAGAGACGCTCGAGGGGTTGCTTGCGGGGGGGAGCGCAAACAATTGTGCCTCTGCATCACACTTCACATTTTGACGTTGAAGTTGGATCGCCGAGAGGTCACTCACATTTTGACGCACACTTCACGGCAACTCTATCGCAGCGGAACGTAGCGATATCCGATTGTAGGCTCCATCTGCCCAAGAGTTCAGCGATAGTGGCCCACCGTGCATCAGCATTCTAACCTTCAAGCATTCACAGCGCGGACGGCCAGTCTACGACCCTACTGTTTTGTCACTTCCCCCCCACCCCGGGTCGTTCAAGCAGCTTCTGGCCTACGGGTCTTAGGGCACCGTTTCACGGGAGTTGCATCGCAGCGGAAGCGAGCCACTCTGAGTCCACTGAGAAATCGGCAGCTGCACAAAGGGGAGCCCCTCGGACGAAACCAGCCCGATTCTAAATCACTCGTAACTCGGGCGAGGCGAGGCGCGGCGGGGCGGCGGCGTCATGGCGACGGCCGGCGGAGCGGCGGCGGCGGCGCCGTCGAAGCGCGGCGAGCTGCGGTACGCGATGGTGGCGCGCGGCGTGGACGTGCTGGCGGAGCAGTCGATGATCAAGGGCGACCTGAGCAGCACGGTGCAGCAGTGCCTCGCCGAGCTGCCCCAGGGCGGCGCCAAGTACGTCGCGTTGCCGCACGGCGACTTCACCATCGCGTTCCAGACGGAGAAGGAATACGGTACGCGCGTGCGGCACGATCTATCTTTTTCCTCTTTTCCTAGGCGGCGCAAAGATAGAGCTCAATGGAGAAAAAATCCGGTACGCGCGGCCCAGGGTTCCTTGGGATTTTTGCGTCAGAAAGCGAATGCGGAGATCGTATGGCGCACGGCGTATTCCTAAGAAAGGGACTTTCTCTTTCTCGCACTTGAATTCCGCCAACCCCCAATCACTCTTCCCTTCCAACCCCGACATCACATTTTCGCGCACTCAGTAGCGTTTAGCGCCTGCTCCTCGGCCCTGTCTGCCCAGTCAGCAGGTACCTCCATCGCGTAGCATAGTCTACCTGAGTTGTCCTCCTCAACTCATCGCTCTCTCGTACTCTCCCGCCCCCTCCCCTCTTCCCCCCCCCCCCCAGTGTTCGGCGTGCTGGCGGACAAGGAGGTGGCGCGCGACGTGCTGCGCGGGTTCCTGGAGAAGCTTAAGGGGGGCTTCATGGCCAAGTACGCCAGCAAGGCGCGCGCCATGCCCGCGGGCGCGCTGCAGCGGGAATTCGGGTGAGTCCATGCGCGGACCGGCCGGGGGCGGGGTGGGATGGGGGAAGGCACGACCTCACAGCGGGGAATCGGCGGCGGGGTCTAGTCATGTGCAGCGCGCAGTGGCGCCGATGTGTTGGTGGCGCACGGCTGCGCTCGTTTGCCATTAGCCACTATGCGGAAACGTGAACAGATCGAACGTGAACGGCCGCGAGCCATTGGCGCATGTTGGGCGTTTGGCATCTATTTCCTCTGCCAACTTATCGGCACGCGGAGCGGATGCATCGCCGCCTCCGCCTCACCTTTCCCTCCCCCTTCTCCCTCCCCAATCTGTGTGGCTCCCCTGTCCGTGCTGCCCTTGCTGGCGGCAGGCCGAAGCTGAAGCAGCAGCTGCAGCAGGGGTCGGCGCGGCCGGAGGAGCTGAGCAAAGCGGCCAAGATACAGGGGCAGGTGGAGGAGGTGAAGGGCGTGATGCTGGAGAACATGCGAAAGGTGAGCGCAGGAGAATCAAATGTATGCACTGGTCCAGCGCTCACGGCAGGGTGCATGGCAGGGGCAGGGGTGGGATGGCAGAGAGTTGCTGTCCAAATGAGTGTGATGTCAGTGAGTTGTTCCATTGAGGCCAGTCCATCTGGGGCTCAGCCAGACTGGGGCTCAACCAGACTGGGGCTCAGCCAGACTGGTGCACCTGGCTTCCACTCCTACCTGCTTCTCGTCTTGCCCTCTTCCTGCTGTCTTGGCCCCTCCATTCCCGGCCCACCTACCTCTTCACGCTCTGCTCTCACGTCTCACCCTGTGCTCTCCCGGCGCAACAGGTGATCAACCGCGGAGAGAAGTTGCAGGTGCTGGAGGAGAAGGCCAACGTGCTGCAAGAGGAGGTGCGTGCCGCTGCACGGGCATGGGTGGCAGGGTGGGACGGTTGAGGCGCCTAAAATATAGCACGGGCATGGGTGGCAGGGTGGCATGGTTGCGGTAGGAAAATAAGCTGAGGTAGGGGGCACGGCAACAGAGGGGCCGTACAACTGAATGGGAGGAGAAAGGGACAAGTGTGCCTTACATGGGATTTACAGCAGCGCGCTTTTCATCCGTTTTAAGCAGGCTGTGCTGACGGCCTTTCTGCTCGATTTCTGCCTTGTCTTAACAGGCTCTCAAGTTCAAAAAGGGGGCCAAGGCGGTGAAGGCGAAGATGTGGTGGGAGAACATGAAGATCAAGGTCCTCTTCATAATCATCGCCGTGCTGCTGCTGGGAGGCATTGTCAGCCTCATTGCATGCCGGATAGCCAAGTGCTGATACGTCACTCTCCAGCCACCCTCCCCCCAGAGCCCATCTGGCCCTTAGGCTGTATACTTCAAGTCTGTCGCACTAATCCGTCCACTAAGCGTGTCTGACCAATCCACTTCCACCCAACCTGTAGTTCTGGCTCCTAAGCTAGACAAGCCCAGTAGGTTCTATGATGTGCGATTGGAGTGGAGGATTTTGCATAGACATTGGGCAATAAATGTACAGCAATACATATTGTTAAAGAAAATATAAGTCGTTGTGGGTTATGAAATTCCCCGAAGCATTTTTTAGCCATAGTACTATTTTTTTATTGTGGAGCAACCTCTTCCAATCGATTTCATTTTTTTCACGTTTTATGACGAAAAAAACTCATGCGCAGCTCAATATTATTTGGTACCAGTTATTAGTATTGATCAATCTTATAAAACATGGGCATGATGTTAGTTTAATCGCACCATTGGCTAGTGTGAATCTACATTGGATGCTTGAACCAATATTCGGTGCATGGTGTTGGGTGCTACGCTTAGTGGTGTATACGGTAGTATAAATGATGGAAAATGAAAATATGGATGAGACGATTCTCAAAGTAGCGAAGTGACTAGAACAAGGCAGTAGATGCTATTGTGATATATGAAGTTTTGCATTCCTGCAAGTTACGTTTTTGGTGTAGCTAGCAGTGTTAGAAGGCTAGCTAGCTAGGAAGCTAGGAAAGGCATGAGGTTTAGCTAGGAGGAGCCATGGAGTGGCGTGAGGTTTAGGAAGGAGGAAAGTTGAGGAGAGAAAAGAGAGTTGGAATAGAAAGAGAGAGGCATACAATGAGGGGATTGTACCCTGTACAGTAAAGTTCGGTAACCTACCAAGCCTAACAATTATATAACTCAATATATAATTTAACACAACCCCTAGGCTTGGTAGTCAGAAGCCCACACACACCCCCACACCCCCTAACCTAGCACCCCCATTCCCATCAGCCACGTCTACTCCAGCAGAGCCAACCCCAAGGCCCTGGAGATGGCGACGGCGGCCGTCCCGGCAGCGGCGACAGCGACGGCGACGGCGGGCGTGTGGCGATGGCAGCGGCGACGGCTTCGGCTTCGGCTTACGATGACGGTAACGGCAGCGGCCCCCGAGCTTCCAGCGGCGTGTCCAAACTCCGCGACAGCGGGACGACCGGCGAGAGTCAGGCGGCGGCTGTGGCGAAGAGGTGGGGACAGAGGAAAGGGGGAAGGGGCGGGGCTTCGGATCTTCAGCGCGGCGCCATTGCTGGCGCGGCGCTTACTGACGTGCGGGCAGGCGGTCTAGCGGCGTCACAGGCGTCGCGCGGCCGGCTGCAGCCCGACGCCGCCGTCACAGAGCGGCGTCAACGCCGCGGCGGGACGTCGACGCTGCGACGGCAGCACGACGGCCCGACGCCACGGCAGCGCGTCGAGACGACAGCGGCACGACACGGCCAGCGGCATCACGACGCCGCCACTGCAGCACAACGCGGCCGCCATGGCCGCACGAGCGAACGGGGGCGAGTACGCGGCGGAATCGTGAGGAGGCGGTCCAGCAGGGAGGAACTCCTGCTCTGATAGCATGTTAGAAGGCTAGCTAGCTAGGAAGCTAGGAAAGGCATGAGGTTTAGCTAGGAGGAGCCATGGAGTGGCGTGAGGTTTAGGAAGGAGGAAAGTGTCAAAGTAAGAACTGAATGATCGAACTAGAAGCAGAAACCTAGAACAAATACTAGTTGGTTGTACTCACTAGAAGCATACCCCAGTTTAGCCTATAACTTCTACATAGCTAACATGTATAAGTTGACACACCCCCTAGGCTAGACAAGGGGTGAAGCTAAGCAAGAAGCAAATAGCTCAGGGTGGCACTACTAGTCCAACCACTGAGGCAGGGGTCTGAAGACCAGTGAGCAAGAGTACAAACAAGACTAAAGCAAGCCAGGGCGGCACCACTAGTCCCACCTCAGGAATGGGAGCGGAGAGCCCATGGTCTACAGGTAGAGGTGTGGGTTGTGCAGAGGAGAACTGAAGGCCGAACCTCTGAAGGACCTGACGCACCAGGTGTGACTGTGTTAGCGTGATGGTGCGTGCTGCTCTGTCCCTAGAAATCTGCAGGCCAATATAGTGACGCAGCTCTCCAAGGTCAGTGCAGATGTGACTCTTCAGCAGCTCAGCCTTCACAGAGGCGAGTGCGTCCCTGTCAGCAGTAGCAAAAACCAGGCCGTCTACGTAGACACGGATGTAGAACGGAGTCTGGCCGGAACGCACAAACAGTGAAGGGTGAGCAGAGGATGGGAAGAACTGCAGGTCTGCTAACGTGGCACACAACGTGTCGTGCCACTCGCGGGGAGCCTGACGCAGGCCATAGACCGGGCGCCTGAGAAGCCACTGGGTCCCAGGGGGGAAGGTACGAGTGAAGCCCTGTGGTCGGCGCAGGTAGACCTGCTCGTGTAGGCTGCCCTGAAGAAAGGCAGTAGAGAAGTCGAGCGAGTGAAGCTCGTAGTCGCGCTGTGCTGCTACGTGTAGCAGCGCCCGAAAAGTGGTCATCTTCGGGGTCGGGGCAAAGGTCTGGAACAAGTCAACCCCCTCGCGCTGACTGAAACCTCTGGCCACGTAGCACGCCTTGAAGACAGGCGGCTCTCCAGGGGGGCGCTTCACCTTGAAGAGCCACCGACCATCGACTACGTTCACCCCAAGCGGGGGAAATGCGTCGACGTAAGTGCCGGTGGACCTCCAAGATGCCATCTCCTGCTCCATGGCAGCTATCCATTGAGTGGCCCAAGGTCCCGAGGTGGCCTCAGCGTAGGTGCGAGGGGTCGGGATGTCGAAGGCGTCGGGGTCACCCTCAGGGACTAACATCATGGAGCAGAGATGGGGAGCAGCCTCGGAAAGGAAAGCAAGCTCGTACTGCCTGTCCTCTAGGACGTCACTGCCAAGGGCAGGAGCACCCCCGACGGACAGAGGACGGGCAGGGTAAGAGACCAGAGCAGTAGCGTAGTCAAGGTGGCGGATAGAGGCGAAGTCAGCGACAGCAGTGACAAGCGCGTCAAGGCGCGAGACAGGAACAGCAGGGTCGGTAACAAGAGAGGCAAGGACCCGAGGGACAAGGGGACGAGCAGCACGGAGGTAGTCAGAGAACGAAGGAGGTGGAACAGCAAGGGACGAGGGAGGAGGGGACGGGAGGAGGGGAGGACGAGACGAGCCGGAACGGAGCAACATAGGGAGGGAGCGCAGGAGAGGAGAGACGGGAGGAGCACGGGCGGAATGGCGAGACCAAACGTGGGACGGTGGTGTAGGGTCAGGGGACAGCGGAGGGGACACAGGAGGGGAACGAGGAGGAAGACAGGCCGGAGACGAGTCTAGCGGTGGGAACACAGGACCGTAGACAGGAAGGTCAGCAGGCGGTGGGGGAGACACCGGCGAGCGGTCCGGGGAGGGAAGGCCGAGCAGTCGGAGAGCGGAGACCGGCGGCGACGACTGCAACGACGGCTGGGCTGGAACCGGCTGACCGGCAGAGGCAGGACAACCGGCGGCGGAACCCTCAACAGCAGCACCCCCAGAACCAACACCCCTAGAGCAAGAACCCCTTCCAACACCAGCGGCACCCCCAGGAGCTGCAGGACGAACACCCTCCTCCACACCAGCACCCCCTTGGGCCAAGAGCAGCAGCGGCGGCGGCGGCAGCGGCGACGGTAGCGGCGGCGATGGCGGTGGTGGCTGCGGCGAAGGCGACGACTGCGACAGTCGAGGCGAAGACACCGGGGAAGGGGGACATGGCAGGGACGGGCCGGGGGGACTACCAGAGTCAGCGGACTCCTCAACGGGGACAACCGACGGGAGGGGAGTGACGTGAGAGACACCAGACGGGGCTGGGCGAGGAGGGAGAGGAGAAGGGGCTACCGGGGGAGAGGGAGCAAGGAACAGGGGCGGGGCAGCCGGGAGACCTCGGTAAGGGAAGCAGCGGTAGAAGGAGATAGACTCGTCAAAGGTTACGTCACGGGAGTGGAGGAAACGGTGAGACGGCGGGTGGTAGAAAAGCCAGTCAGACGAGTCCAGGGGGAAACCAAGGAAGACACATGGGACAGTGCAGGCAGTGAGCTTGTCCGTGCAAGAGGCATGAACGTGAGCGAGGCAGCCCCAGACGTGGAACGCAGACGCGTCACCGGGGGACCCGGTCCAAAGGAGGGTCGGCAAAACCTGCGGCCGCTGGGAGCGTGGCCACAAGTTAAGCTGGTGAGCAGCGTAGCGAACAGCGAACGGCCACAGAAAATAGGGGGCATAGGCATGAATCATGGATGTACGGGCGACCTCCATGACCAAGCCGATGTGACGCTCAGCAACCCCATTCTGCTGTGGTGAGTAAGGCAAGGTGTACGACTGGGTGATGCCCTCCGCACGACAGAACTGTCCAAGCCAACCAGAGGTGAACTTGCCGCCACGGTCAGAGTGGAGACACAACACGGGGAGACCGCAGTGAAGACGCGCAGCCACCACCAACGGGAGAAGAACGTCGGGCACGTCGGCCTTCCGCTCCAGGGGAAACACCGTGGTGTAGCGCGTGTAGTCGTCGACGAGCACAAGGAAGTAGCGCTCACCTCGCGGTCCGGGGACAAGGCCAGGGCCCCAAACGTCCAGGTGCAGGGTCTGAAGGGGGGCAGTAGCAGGGCGCAGCGAGGAGGAGTGAGGAGCACGGCGGAGCCGGCCGTCGACGCAAGGCGTACACGGTGGCGCAGTCGAGGGAGGAAGGGCAGGGAGCGACGCGGGGAGACCTAAGACAAGACCGTGCTGGGACATGTGACGCAGACGTGGGAGAGCAGGGTGACCTAGGCGGTGGTGCCAGAGAAGGGACAGGTGAGTGAGGGACCGACACGAGCAAGCTGCACCGACCTGGGAGGACGCACCAAACGGGGGGGAAGCGGTGTCGAGGGTAAACAGACCGGACACTGGGTCTCGGGGGAACGTCGCAAGGGGGGAACCTGAGACAGTCTCAGAATAGACAGCGAACCGCTTGTGCTCGGGGAACGTGGTGGTGACGCCGAGGTCCTGGAGACATCCGACACCAACCAGGTCCCTCGAGAACGAGGGAACGTTGAGGCCTGTAAGGGAGCCCAAGGGAACTGCTGGACAAGGAAGGGACGTAGAACTGCGAGCGACGACAGGACCCGCAGAGGGGTCAGCGAGAAAGACAACAGCAGGCGTAGCAAGCGACGTGAGCGCGGAACGGTCGCGGAAGAAGCAGGCAGAAGCACCGGAGTCGATAGTGAAGG